GGGGGGGGGGGGGGGGGGGGGGGGGGGGAGGGGGAGAGAGGAAATAGAAAAAGCCCGAGGCTCTGCTGGGTGGGGGTGGGGGTGGGTGGGGGTGCATGGGAGGATCGGTGAGGTTGCGCAGGGGTGCAGTACGGGTCAAGGGCCTAAGAACTGCTTGGATTTTCAGCCCAAGTTGAGAGGCTTCTGAAGCTTCTCCATTCTATGGCTGAAAATCTTCCAGGGCTGAAAATCCTGCTTGGATTTTGGCATGGAGCTTTTTCAGCCAGCCCCCAGGGATGAGAGGGAGTGCTGTGAAGAAGGGGGGGGAAAGGCTACTTTCAGCCCTCTTTTCCCCTTCTTTACAGTGCAAAGCCCTTTTTGTGGCTCCTGGGAGGGGTGGGCTGGCTTCACGCTGCGAAGAAGAAAAAGGCCACTTTCGTCTCTTTTCCCCTTCGTTGCAGCATGAAGCCAGCCCCACCCCTCCCAGGAGCTGCAAAGAGGGCTTTGCACTGCAAAGAGCGGGAAAAGAGATGCAAGCAGCCTTTTTCTTCCCTTCTTCACAGTGCGAAGCCAGCCCCTGGTTAAAGCAGAAGAAATGTTCTGGACTGGCCAAGTTAAAGTCCTGACCTTAATCCTATAGAAATATTGTGGAAGGACCTGAAGTGGACAGTTCATGCCAGGAAGCCTGCCAACATCCATGAGTTGAAGTTGTTCTGTGAGGAAGAATGAGCTAAAATCCCTCCAAGCCAATGTGCAGGGCTGATCCACAGTTATCAAAAACATTTAGTTGCATTTACTGCTGCCTAAGGGGCTCACACTAGTTACTAAAAGCAAAGATTCACATACTTTTGTCACACAGAAATATGAAGCTTTGGATCATTTTCCTCAATAAATCAATGTACAAGTATATTATTTTTGACTCATATGTTTACTGGATTCTCTTTATCTAGTTTCAGGACTTGTATGGAAAATAGTTGTTCTAGGACATATTTATGCAGAAATATTGAAAATTCAAAATACTGAAAATTCAAAAGTTCACAAACTTTTAAGCAACACTGTAACTAATTTGTCCATACTGATTACTAGCATCATACATATGAACTGGACTGCAAACTCCCTGAAGCAGGAAGTATTCCTGCTCCAGAGCTAATTGTATCAAAACAGTTCATGACCTTGGGTACTTATGTTCAATTGGGGGATGTTGAAGTCTTGTCCAGGAAACCAATCACAAAGCAAAGAAACCTGGTTGGTGTTCATAGTCCCGGGTTTGTTCAACACACCATATTTAAAGTATATTATGTATAAATCATGATTTGTAGTGTATTTATTTCAAATATGTAAGATTCAGTAAATATTTTAATTTGTGGTTTTATAACCAGTTATTTAAAGAGTGTGTGTATACTTATGAAATGTATATATACACACACAATTTCTCTCCCAATTTAATGCATTCTAAAAATAATCTGTCAACAACAAATCACATTTCTGCATGAAAGTGTTAACCTACTTAATAGCTGCAGGCATCATCTGTGGGTACTTACCTGTCTATTCCCACATCAGTCCGTCTGTACACTAACTTTATTTTATGAACCTTCTTTCATTTAACTGCCTTTCCCACTATGGCAACTACTTTTACCTTCCTTCTCCAAGAAGGCTTTTACAGCAACTGCTCCAGTGTGTTACCACCATTAAATGAAAAATTATAATTTTTCCCCAGGCAATAAAAATATTTTATTTTTATTGATACAACTAAGATGTCATTCTATTATCATTTGTATTAGTTACATTCTAAGTCTCCCTGAAAATGTAAATAAATACTATTTTTGCTAAATAAAATATACCAAAAGACTTCAGCAGCTCTTCAGCATCCAAAAATACTCCAAATAAATTATTCAGCCAAAGCAAATATGAATTTTACAAATTATATCTGGGAGAACCTATCTCTAACTACAGCAAGATAAAGAGGGACAAATAAAAAGGTTTTCTCATATTCTTGTGATAATCTATACATTGCTACCTAAATTTTATAGAATCTCCAGCATGGTGCTTTAAAAATAATTAGAGACAAAAGATTAATTATATGAAAAGCTTTCATTTATAATAGCTATCATAATGTTAATGTTTATAGAGATCAGAAAAGCACTGATGAGCCTTCGAAGAGAAAAGTAAATGAACCAGGAAGCTACTATTCACCTAAGATTGTACTGTAAAACTATGAAAACATTTAGCTCCAATTGCCCACAATTGAGGGCAGTTGCAAGAAATACTTGGAAGCCTCTGTTTTTCAAATTTGCAAATTAATGTCTCAAGAACAAAAATTGTTCTTGTCAATCATTTACATCTGTTAGGTGATTTAGAAGGGAAAGAAGCGAGAGAAGAGGCAAGGTAAAAGGCAAAAGGTGAAAAACATACCACCAGTTTATCCTCTTAACAGGTTGAAAATTTAAAGCTGAATGCCTACCTCCCACTGCAAGTGTGGCGGGATATTTCGGATTTGAAGTTTTCGACTCCTAGTGACAGAGGTGGGAGGGAAGGGGGAGAGAAAAAGAAAGATTGCTATTTAATATACAAAGTTAAAACACGACTGAATATTACAAACAATATGTGAAAAAAAATCTAATGGTAGCAAATGATAATTATTTCAATCTTCTTCAAAAAATATTCAAAAGAATAGACTGTGTTCTAAGATACTGCTTTTCATAGTGTTTTACTGAAGCATTTCTTGACACTAGAAACGTATTTGCTTCAATATAATCTCCACATGCATATTGTTTAGATATGCAATTAACTGCTTTTTACACTTGTAAAAGTTATTCCCAAAGTTTAACCTCCCCAAATGATTTTCATGTGTGAAATTCTGTTAATTCTAACAATGACATTGATTTAATTAGCACTTAAATTTCTAAGATTCTATGCCTCTCAGATTTTGATTGGCTATTACATTTTCATTTCTGTTTTAAAGACACATCAGCCTCCAGTCATGAAAGCTTTTTGTTTGCAATAGTACATCAAGATCTTACAATATCCTCCATACCAGCCAAGCCCTTTTTTCCCTCACCTCTTGGCCCCTTTCATCAAAAATGAAATTAACTACACTAAAAAAAAACTCATGCCCCACATAACCCTTGGGACCTTCAAGAACGTGGAGCTAAATCACATTACAGCACCACCCAAGAAATAAATGCATTTCTAAGTCATACATAAAATACACATAAAGGCAGAACACACTGCATATAATAGATATCAATGCTTTGAAATAAAGAACCTGGAAAAATATTTTAAGTTGAAATTCAGTTAGGTATATGTTCCATTTTCTATTACATAAAGTCCAGTAACTTCTTAAGAAACCTAGAATTATCATTAAAGAAACACTGCTGAGAAAGTTCTTAGAAGATATGCCCAGTATTAAGTTCTATGCTTTCAGTACTTATCTTTGCTAGTCTAATATTTTCTTTCTTCTTCTTATGTATCTGAGATACATAAAACAACAATGTTGAAGATAGTTCTAACTATAAATGTGAGGAAAAGTAAGCATCAACATTTCAACAAAGCAAAAATAAAGCAATTCCAGCTAGCTATATTAATTGCATGGAACTTAAGTTTTTACAACAGTTTATCTCACATTAACAGTTCATCTGAAAAAACAAACAAACCCAGTATTTGAGATTTTGTTCTATGCTATTCTGGAATGTAGCAGGCAATGAAATAAAATTTATGTACATCTTTCAAGACACAATATAACATCAAAATAATATCAAATAACATTGTTAACATGTAAAAAGTCATCTAGCTCTTTTGTATAAGGCAAGCAGAGAACACCCTAATATTTTCTTGGCTGTTCCCTCTCTCTTGGAATCCTTCCTGTAGGTCTGCTGATGGCAGATAGTCCAGAGGGGAAGGTGAAAATCTAGTTAAAATATCTGCTACGGTACAGCCCCTGGGGAACTATCAATTCTCAGTTGGCTTAAATACAATTCATAGCCTGAATAATAAAAAAGTTTTATTTTCCTTGACTGGGTCATTTCTAAACACCTGGCAAACAGAAAAAGCACTTCAGAGAACGTCATTAATCTCTGGAAAGCTTCTTGATTTTAAGCACTTGCAATGCTTTCATTAATTTCTGGAGCAGCTTCACTAGTCTGTACTGTTTAAAAGCCTTAAGTGAACTCCAAAGTGGCTCCGTATATCTAGACAGGCTTTGTCATCAAAGACTTCTGCATTTCTGAGGCAGCACTTCTATATTTGCTCTGCAACTTGGTAAAGGTTGAGTGACTTAGTGCTTGTGAGTAGTCCTACTACCTTCTGAAGCTTACTTTTTATGTACAAAGCCTTGGGATTTGCAAGTATTGTTGCTCAGGACAGGTATTTGTGAGTCAGCTGAGTATCTGTATCTTTCTTCAAAGTTAGTTGTTACTTCCAAGAAAAGTTAATGCAGAGGACTGGACTTTCAAAAGAATAAGAATGAATGGGGTTTTTTCTTCATAGAACTGAAGGACAAATCCAATTCTCTAAATAGTATAAAGTATGCTTACTCAGTGGATTCAGTTGATGATGAAATTTAGGGCCAGACACTTTTGTTTTCTTGTGTTCAAGAACAGATACAAGCTGGATAGCATGCTGAAGAGGTAAAATAAGAGATTAGTACAAGGGAGGAAGCTAGTGACAAACCTAGATAAGGTGACAAAGGATAAGGATACTTCTATGATAACAAAAAACAGAATAGTTCAAAACAATGGTCTTCCGAGCAATAATGTATGGCTGTGAAAAATGGACACTGAGAAAGGTGAAAGAAGAGAGACAGCTTTGAATTATGGCTTGAAGATGGTTACTAAGAGTACCATAGACTGCAAGAACAACCAATGTTTCAGTCCTGAAGGAAATAAAGACTGACTGCTCCCAAGACAATTGTTAGCAAGCAAAAACTCACATTCTTTTGGGCATGTGATCTGAGTAGATGGAGTACAAAAAAGAACTGTTTGGGAAGCTTGAGGGAAGTAAAGAGCAAAAACTACAGATAAGAGAGATGATCAATGGTACCACTGGAAATGCCCCTGGAAGAGCTGTGAATTGTCACATGGACAAGTCAAGATGGAAGGCATTTGTCCATCCAGTCATCAGGAGTCAGACCAGACTTAAGGGCACCAAACTAATTAATACTGACTGAGATAACAGGTATTGTGGTTTGAGAAGTGAAGGATTTTTTAATATATGATATTTCACTATCTCCATTAATTTATACCATTGATAAATATCCAATAGAAGCTTTGTTATAATAATGCACTTTCAATTATTTTATTCACTTATAATCAGCCACTTTCATATAAACATTTTAGGCTTGATTTTATACATTGAAAAATATGATATTTCACTATCTCCATTAATTTATACCATTGATAAATATCCAATAGAAGCTTTGTTATAATAATGCACTTTCAATTATTTTATTCACTTATAATCAGCCACTTTCATATAAACATTTTAGGCTTGATTTTATACATTGAAAAATTAATTCATGATTGAAAAACACTGAAATTTTTTTTCTTTCTTCTCTGAATACACAATGTCTTATTTGCGTATTCAAAGAATACTTGGCAAAACAGCTTATCCAAACAACTCTGTACTGAGTTTTTAGAACCTTAAATTATAGCACTCTTAAATACTTGTACCAAATGAATACAGAAGTCAGAAACTTTTCTAATTTTGGTGTATTTTAGTGAGACTATACCCAATGACAGTTTAAACCTAACCCCAAAATGACTGCAGATGTATAGTCATTCTTAATACACATTGATGATTTTATCATTCATTCTATGGAAGGTAATTTAGCAAAGCCCTTCTTTATGGATAGGTTTGAAAAGGTGTCACTGTGAGACTTCTGGATGTCTTCTTGGGAGCTGATACACAGGGTTTCACACAGTTCTGCTTTGCTTCTTGGTTTTTTCAATATCTTCATAACATTTCTAGACCTCATCTAGGAATGGGTTTTCATTAATTTATTATATTCAATAGCATCTCTATTTTCTATCCTATTCAAAGGAGACAATAGAAGGACTAAATCAATCCCTCCCCAAAACATTTGGATCAAAAAGATTCCTGACTTCTCTGGCTGTATTTTTATTTCCTGATGTCACTGTCAGCAACGGAACAGAAATGGGGCTCTGGAACAGGAATTCAAGATGCTTTGGATATGATAATATCTTTATTAAAGGAGGAAGTTAGCAGTTTGTGCTTCTGTTGGTTTGCAACTGCATCTGATTGCTCAGGTATAACTGTAGCCAGGTATACCTTTGCCATGTTTAGGCTGCCGTACCAACTGAATCTACATGGTGTTTAAAAGTTTGTGAATCCTTTTGAATTTTGAATACTAAAAATTCAAAAGGGTTCACAAACTTTTAAGCACCATTGTATTTCTGAAAAAGCCAAATGTAGCTGTGGTGACACATGCCTTAGTTACATTTACACGGATAATGTGAGTTATACTGAGCTACTACTGAACTATTCTCTGAAACTTCCTGGTCCAGAATGTGATGGCAACAATGGGATTGCATTATCCTTTTCTGTCATGGAATCACCTGTTTTCCTGAAACAGCTGCACTGAATGTATGTCTTCTGAGCACAATTCAAAGCATCTGTGATTAACTGTGAAGTCCTAAACGACATGGACCCAGTTGGATCACCTCCTTCTGCATTTGCCTGCCCATGCCCTTATATCTGGTGAAAAAAACTTTTCTTAAGAGTTAATTATTACAAATGCAGACAAGAGAAAAGTCCATCTCAGAAGACTCACCTTTTGGGAAGCTCAGCTGTCCAACTTTTTAATATATTTCAGTAGATACTTTTTTTTAAGTCTTCATGCTTTATCTTATCAATTTGAACAATATAGTTTGTGATGTCTTTGCTCATTTGTGAATCTTTCTGTTTTATCATAGTAGTAGTTTACTTAAATTTCTTATACTTTATCATTAATTTTCACTGCTGTAAATTGAGAGTGTTGTATAAGAAAAATACTGGGACAAAAATCCTTACATTAAAAACATACACTGAAGAACAAGACCAGTCTTATTTCCCAGAAAGAGCAAACAGTATACCCAGCAGTTAAAATATTTTTAAAAAGAGAGAGATGCTATGAAATGCTCCTTCTGAAGTATCTGTGTGTACAGTTCTGTTGACATACTATGCTTAAAACAGTGAAGATAAATTCTGTACAATAATTTTTAAAATTTCACATCCTCTTTATTAGCCTTTTAGTTTCAGTTCTGGATAGCTACTCCCCCCCTTTAAGTTTTAATTTTAAAAAATAAAACATAAAATCATAGTGGGAACATGCAAGCCTTTTTGTTTGCTGAATTATGGCCAGTACAACTTGGATGGAATCCAAAGAGCTACTTTAGACATGCCCAAGGCACGCCCTGTGGGATTTAATTTTTTTTATTCTCACTATGCTGTAACACAAATGCTTTTGATTCAATTTCAAAAGTGACTTCCTGTGTGCACAGTGCACTGCTATTTG